ATAGTTTAAAACATACTTTACTAAATTAATGCAGCTGTGATACTGTTCAGAATGTATTTGACTTCAAATGATTGATCAAATTTTTGTCTTGGTATTTTTAATGGCTGGCTAGATCACACTGTCTGTGCTTGCTTGAAGTAGTTGCTATGTTGATTTAACAGTTCCAACTCAAATAATATTGAAAGAATTACGATTAAAACAAATAACAATTATTCTCTTTTTTATTGTTTAACAGAATAAGGGATTATTAAACAGTTCAGGATGATAAGCATTCGGCACCCCTATGTGTCATAATTTGAACTTGAATCCTGAATCTTGCATATACATATATATATATATATATACCGAGTACACCCGATAGACCGGACGCAATTCATAGCGCTCCGGATTTCTTTGTTCACAACTGTTTATAAACTCCAAATTAAACATGTAACCTTTTAAATATTTAGTGTTTGGTAGTTTAGTATTAGTGCTAGTTGTTTTTGCTTCTCTATTTCCTTTGTTTTTATGACTTCTTAACTTTTTTCTTTGTCCTGAGGAAGGGACAGGTTGTCCCAAAAATTTGACAATTATTATTGTTCGTGTCGTTGGTCATTTTTAGTGCTTTATATAAATTTCCATCCGTGACCTTGTATCTACTTAGTAGATCCGACACTTAGGATATACAGTGTTGTTGGTTTTTAGTGCTTTATATATATATATGACTTAACATGACTTTGAATATCTGAGGAAGACTATATGGTCTATATATGACTATATTTTACCTATAAATTCTTTCGTAAAAATTTGATTGGCCATTGAGGCCCAAATTCTCTACCCGGGGGTCATGATTTAATTAAACAAATTACAATTAAAGTAAAACAAAACAGATTTAAACACACATATAAAACATTTTTTCTTAGTATTCAGATATGTTAGGATTGTTACACGGCCTGACGAGGGTGCAGTTTGTGCGCCCGTGCAACCGTGTATTAACCCACTTGTTGCATGGATCTTGGTTTCTTGATTGAATTTATTGAGTAGGATTGCTAGAGCCTCTGGGTAGGTAAACACTAACCCATTATAAAATGATGAATCTAATGATTAATCAATTTACAATTCCCATTCAAAACGACCCGTGCTGGCATTGGTGTTATTCCACTAGCAATGAAGTGGAAATTTTGCAGTCAGTAGTAAGAGTAGAACCATGCAACAGCAACAACCACTGATATACTAGGGTAGATGTGTGTAATAAATAAGAAAATACACGTATTCACTGAATGTTTTTATGCTTTTACACATTATTCTGAGGATGAGGTAATAAAAAAATGAAATGTTCATGAATAACTGATGAAAAGGAGAGCCTTTTCACTGACAAACGCTATATACATGGTATAAAAACGATAAATATCAGACTAATTATCAAAAGGAAGGTTAAATGGAACTTCGGAGGGCGGGTTGATCTTATTGTTACGAAGAGTATGTAAATAAAAATTAAAAAAATTACTATCAAATTCCACGTTCACTTGATGAACTTCTACATCCTTGATAAAAAGTAGCTGACATGCATTGTTTTATTTTTGATGCGCCACATATTCTACAAATCAACAATGGTGTTACAGTATTTAATTTCAGCTACTGTGCCTGGAAAACCATGCTTAAATGATAACAAGATGCAATCGAATATTCTCACGTGCAGTTCAGATGGATGACAATTAAATGAATGCATAATATTTTATTCCGATTCAAGCTGTAGGCAGAGGACAATCTACTTTGCATCTTCAGAGCAGAGGATGAAAACGAATAGCAATTTATATTTGGCACAAAATACGGTGTTCTTCGTAGAACACTTTATCGGAATCAGTTTTAACTACTAGTATCGGCTGTAAATTTTCTAGTGGATGGAGACATCAATTAAGAAAGTGAAATTATTGTTATAATATATTATGTTAAATAATATAATATATTTATATTGTTCTACAGCTATAATTTGTTGGAGATGGACAAGACTTCACAAAAAAGAAAAAAAAAAAACAAAACAAAAAAACACTGATCGATGGGCGTTTTTTTTTAACTTGTCCTATATACCGTATTCACCGAGATATTTGAACCTCCCTGATTATTTTTTAATATATATACTGATATTAATTTCCAGTTCCAATATCCTAATAAAGAATGTTTAAGTATGACAACTTGTTTATCAGATTCTTTAATTATTTTAGCTATTTCCCCTTAATTTGATAACTATCATGTTTGATGTGAAAATTGAAAAATTATTAATTTTTCATATCCGAACACCTCCAAAGTCTTTTGAGGCGTAATGATCTATTACTCTCCCATTATTCATTTACGGTGAATTCAACGAAGGATCTATAATAACGTGACTTCCATTTCTTTTAAATCAGACTTTGATTATAATTCTTCAGTGTATATTCATTATCACTCAGAAGTACATGTATTGGGAATTGACGCATGGAACTGATTTCTCCTACGCATCTAATTACAAAAGCTATTCTGTATTAACAATTTTTACTTTAATTATCATGATGACTATGTTGAACACGCCAGAAAGCAAGTTCATGGCATATCTTGTAATTATGCGTTGACACATCATAGTGTGCATTTATTGATATTTTAAGCTCTAATTAGTATGTGTGAGCAGATTTTTTTACCTATCTTACTTTTTTCAATATTTTGTGGTGTTATCTTTACGTGAATATAAAGTTTAAAACACATTTATTAAAAGAAGGGAAATATCTCAGTTATTTTTCAGAAAATTAAGTTGGCAATATTTGATGTTTCTTGAAAAAAAAAAATATTTAAAGGCTTATAAACCTTTTGTTAAATTATGTTGTTTTGATAGAAACAAGTGTAAGCACCACAGTTCTCATTTTCAATTGAATAAGCATATAAGTTTACTTTGCTTATAATCTTTGACGCAAAGATTTTATTGGAATAAATACCAATATGCAAAGGCTCGTAGCAACGGTTTTTAAAAAGGGGATCTTATCAAAAAACTGACATAAAAAACAATAATTTGACAAGACAAAAAAAATTATTAACTGTCAAATCTTGGAATTTTCCAGTGCTCGACTTAACACGGCAAAAGATTTGGGGAGGGGGGACCAGCATCTAAAGGATAATTTGCTATAGCAAAATACTATACTCAGAATATAGTGAAGCCCCCCCCCCCTCCCCCCGTGTTATACGGGCCTGATTCAAACGGAATTTATTTATCGATAGCGTCATATACATTTTGACTTTTTAAAGTTAACTTTGTGTAAAGTTTTCTTGTTGGGTTGGTTGGTTGTTTAACGTCTCTTCTAGGTAATTTAAAACCTGTACTCGGTACTTTATACGGCCTTTGAGCACTAAAGGATCTTTTTCGTGCCAGCACCTACTGCTACATGGGACCTCGGTCTATGAGGTTTCATCCGAAGAACTGGTATTCACGTCGTACAATGGATTCGAACCCGCGTCGTAAGGATCAACTACTATAGAGCAAATCTTACCACTGCACAACGTGGGAGACTCCATTTGGAGTGAAACTACAGGAAATTAAATAGGAAAAGAAGACGAATCTGACATATGCTGTAGTCTTATATGTCAAATCTGTATTCATAATTCCAATATTCATGTTGTTAGCAAGAGCATCACTCAGAATTTCAAGGTTGCTGACAAAATATTTATCTTGTTACTTGGACTATTTAAAGAAGCTAATGTAAGCCCATGGTTAGATTATTCAAATGTAGAATACAAGCTGGTGTGTGTGATTCTGGATGTTGCCCAGCATTGGCTCTTTAAGTCGCCACGTGTATCGGACGATTATAATTTCGATCCAACCCGTCCATTCCTAAAACTGAAATTTGCTAACAAAGAAATAGATGCTGTGACCATTAGTAACATTCTTAATCATAAAAAAGTTCAGTTTTGCATTTCACGCTATTTGAAGTTTTGATAGCCATTGGTGTCGGAAGCAAATTGAAAGTGGGGGGCTAATTGAAAGAAAAAAAATTCGAACCTGAAAAAACTTGACAAGCAAAAAAAAAAAAAAAAAAAATAAAAATAAAAAGAAAATTAGTAATTGTCTAGATGCGAAAATCCTATTTCGGGGGTGGGGGGGGGGGGGGGACAAACTTCTTTCAGTACCATTTTTTTTCCCAAATCCTAGTACTTACCCTTCTTTGACTACACTGCAACCTGTGCCTCTTGAAGGTGGGGGGGGGGGGGAACCTACGCTCCAATGTTCAATGCCTATATTATGTCTATCTTTGCAAAAACAAGTGGGGGTCAAAGCCCCCCCCCCCCCCGGTTCCGACGCCTATCATAGCAAATATAACTTAACAATGGGTCGGGTTTTTTTTACTACAAATTGTTAGACCTTTGTTTTTATACTAAATTTGACTGTGTGTCTATATTCCATCTACCTGATCAGTACACAGGGCTCACAGCGGGTGTGACCAGTCGACAGTGGATGCTAGGCACCTAATCCCATCTCTGTGTTTTCCGGGGGATCCATGTTTTATTCCCTGATTACAGATTTGTATTTGTAGGTTTTTTTTTTAGATAGATCACACGGACATTCCGTCCTATGGCTGATATTGGTGTCTCGGGCTGATACATGCCGAGATATATAGAAAATGGCATATATTATTCCCATGTTAATGTACATGTATATGAGGGTACATGAGATTTGCACTGGTTAAGTGTACAGTACACCATGTACATTGTCATATCCAAAGACCATGCCTTACTCTTCTATAACAGATTAATTGTGATATGTCAAGAACATTAAATTGTTTTACATGTACATGTACTAGACTGTTCTTCCAAAATAAATGAATTTGGATTTAAATGAATGTCTTTTGCAGTTGCAGGACGGAAAAACTTAATTTTTTTGTCATATTTACAATACTATAACCAATGCCAAAATATAGCCTTTGTCACATTCTCTGAGATTCTTTAACAATATTTTATATTTTCAGTATTTATTGTTAACAGGAAAAAGCTAGTTTAGCATAACAAGTAGTATAACAAATATTTTTTCTAAAAAAAAAAATATGTTTGAAGTATTAATAGTTCGTCATTATGTGACGTCATTCCAGATTGATTAATGAGAACTCTCAATTCAAGCTTTTGCATTGGTCGGTACACATCGCATGCTTAACTGGTCCTCTAACTTATCTGGTCCTCTAAGCTTTAGCTGCATCTGATATATCCGAATCTTTATTCTTTTTCATTAAACAACAAGCTGATATGATGCCAATTAACTAAAAAGAAAATAAATAATGATTATATTTTGCTGATTTTTAATATCCATAAAAACATTTGCTAAAGTATAGCTAAGGAAATCGTTTAATAATTTAATTATAAATTGTTTCTAGTCGTTTAGAAATAAAAGTATTTCATGCTACTCTACATTTTTAGTGGTAAAAAATGTATATTTTATAATATATACATGTACCTCTAATGCGCCGACGCCTGCTGCTATTCCTATAAGAATGTACAGATAAGCCTCAAACTTTGACTGTAATTGATCGTAGCATCCCTGAAGCAAAATCATTCGAAAATTGTTTCTTAATTTTTTTTTTCTCTGAAGTTAATAAATTTATCAACTACCAGGTCATCAATTGAAAAAATTAAACATAATGAAGCACAAAACGAAAGTTCGTTGTATTTCTCACATGTGTGGTTACTAAAAACTTACATGTATGATTATAATTAAACTTCATATGTAGTGCAAATTTTACCTGGTTGTAATATGAGTTGGCCGCATTGATTGGACACTGGTTATTTGTCATGGAATTGTAAAATGTGACGGGATCGGACGGGAATGCGTCCTTGTTGGTGAACTCACAGCAAGTCGGCGGTATTACTGCCGTGGCTGTGGTATAGCTTCCTCCGGACTGATAGACATAAGTCGTATTCCAGTTCGTTGCAGTGGAATTAAATTCCAAGCCGGACTCAATTCCACAACATTCCAGCTACATGTAGATCGCACCGATATAATACAAATACACAGAATTACTAAAATACATGTATGTAGTGTTAAAGGAAATGTTAAATCTATAACCGTAGTTTAATTCATAAAAAATTGTCTATATTTATATTTTATTCGTTCTCCTGAATATGCTACACTTACAATGATGAATGCTAGATCTAAAGCCAAGCTGATGGCATCAGAGGTGTCATATGGTCCTTTGTATCTCGTTTCCAACAAGGTATTAAGGTTGCTTTTGGCGTATTTGTCAAACTGCATATAATATAAAAAAGAAAAATTCCATTAAAAATGTATTTAAAAAGAGATTTTTAATAAAATATTCTTATTTTCTACTTTGAAACTGTACTTACATCACTTTTGTAAACGACTGCCAAGATACATGCCGATGCCTCCACAGCGAAAATCAATCCCACGATAATTGAATACTGAAAGTGTTATTATTATACAAAAATATATATCTAGTGATTAAACACAATGAATTAAAAAAAAAAAATTAAAAAAACAACAACAACAACAAAATTCTTTTTTTTTCTCAAGAATTTCCTAACTTAAGTATTAATAGTTAAAGTTCCAAAGTAAATATATTTCCTTACAAAAATGTTACATGTACATGACCTTTGTTGAGAATTAGTCAATTTAATATTATGATATTACGCTGATAGCTAACAGGAAACAAAATGAAAATGGTTATTTTTTTGTAACATATAAGGAATTCTTTGCATAGTACTACTAGCATACATTTTTGTCACCACAATTGTTTCTATAAACATTAAGTATACCACGTTTTCTAGATGCGTCATGGTAGTCGACCCAAAATGTTACAGACACAAAAGAAATGATTCTTAAATTTTGAAAACATGTGAAGAAAAGAGTTAGGAAGAACACAACACGTGTCTATAATGTACTTTATGTTCTTGAAACATACCACAAGAAGCATGCATTTGTTTTTCATGATGGCACCACAGCATCCTAAGAAAGCCACGAAAAAGATGAACCCCCCTCCGGCAATGAGGGCATAAGCAGCTGATTCTAGAAGGGAGGGTACATCTAGACTGCTTGTATCCACACTGCGGGTCAGGACCAAAATTTCATTCTTATCCACCAGGACAAAAATTCCTAAGCCGAGGCATGCTCCTCCAAAAAGCTTTAATGAAATCATATTTTGTTATAACAAGAGTTTAATGGATTGCATCAAGTTTCAAAATTCTCGAACTTCAATATCAAAGCTTATAATATTTTACCGTTGTTTTATTTTCATTGAAGGGAAAAGTTAAAGGAATATGATACGTAAAATCGTTTTCCTGTGTATGATTTCATTAAATAAAGTGTATTTACCAGAAATATCATGTTGAAAACAACAAGAAAAAACTTCGAACAGCAATCACCACAGCCCATGTTCTTTTTCTATCTGCATAAAGTCAAATACATGTATAAATATTAAAGCGTATATAGATACAAAAGAAAATTCACATGTTAGGAAAATTCTTGACAGAAAGGGTCAGTGATTTAAACTTATCATTCACTTGGTAAACATAAGTCGTTAATAAACTTTAACAACAGTATTATAAACGAATCAGTCTATCCATACATTAGTTTCAAAATAAATATTACCTTGGGTTTCAATATTAAAGACAATTTCAAGTTATTATGAAATCACACTCTAAGTTCAACAAACAAGAAATTATTAAGACTTTTAAGAATAAAAAGGATGTTTTAAACGTCTATGGAAAACCCTTTAATCCATATGTTAATAACTACTCTCGGCCCATAAATTCTTTTTATTTATTTTAAATTGACAGTACATGTACATGTAATATATTTTATGTAAATTCTATCTGATTTAATAATAATTGTTCAATCAGTTTTACGAAAATTTCATCCCTATCTCCCGTCTTCTTCAATTATTAATATTCAACCATAACTGATTATGATTCATCAAAATCATAAAAGATACTAATTATGCGGTCGTAATTAACCTACCTTAATTTCCTCGAGCCACCTCTATACTGTCCCACAGTTAAACCGTAAAGTTTTCAGTGTATAATTTTTGGTATGTGTCGTAAAGGATTAAGGAAGACAATACTGTAGGTACGTAGGAAGCGCCTTTAAAGGGCTAATAGATATAATGGTACTTAACTGGGTGTATCAATATTTTTAGAAAGATTTACAATGTTGAATTTTTTTTCTAGTAATACCTGATAGGTAACAGTGAGCCAGTTTTATTGTCAGGTCATTTAAAATTTTTTTTCGATTGTGACTGAGAGCTTAAAGCGAAGAGTGTAACACAATGCAAAGTCATGTATTTAATCTACATGTAGTTCATAAATTCATTTTTTTTCTAATGCTCCTTTAATGAGTGTTTATAATGTTAATTTATATATACGAGGATTGATCCAAAAATAATGTGACAACTGGTATAATTCTCAAAAAATCGAAAAATATCAACAAAAATTCATATACATGTACTTATACCTTTATCTTTTTATTTTTGCCTTTAAATTTCATTCAGATATATGCGATACTTTTTAAAACATTAAAATAAACACATCTTTATAGGTTTTGTCTATCGCCACAGTCAAGAATGATACCGAACGTTGTTATGACGTTACTTTTCGGCACTCATTTTCGTCATCCATAAATCTTTTAATTCTCTAACATATACATTTAATTATTTTATGTACACTCCCAACTTGTGCTAAATCGTCTAGTTTTGAGCTACATGTATTTCAAAAAAAAAAAAAAAAAAAAAAAATTTAACTTTGCACAGTGCATGCATTCTGTTGTGAATACACATAGAACTAGCGAAGCGGCGGGTTTAAGAAAGTGAAAGGTTATCTTCCATGCATGTTCTTCTTCCAAGCATCTGTCCATCCTTTGACTTCTTTTTACACTGGTATTTTTGCAACTTTTGTATCTATATAATATTAATTATTTCACTTAATTTGGACGTCAAGTCTGGCGTTATGTAAGGTATCAACCTTGTCAACATTTCCATTGACGAAGAAGAATTCAAAGTGATTGGACGATCAGTCAACCTTTATTGTCACTTGAGGCTGACGTTACATATGATCTACGCAAAAGTAATAGATACAGAAATAATATTTGGATAAAGTTGAAATCGTTTTAAAACTACAACTTTAAACATGTGAGAGGTTATGAAGATTTCGCGGATAAAAAGAAAACCAGAGCCGAAATGTAACGTCATAAGGACAACGGTAACATTTTTGCCATGCGGCATATACAAACTTTATTTTTATATGCATATAACTGAATGAAAAAAGGCAATAGTCAAAATAGAAAGGGTATTAATATGTAAAATTTTATTGATAACATTTGATTATTAAAGATTGTAAAACAATTAAATCTGTGACTTTACTTTTGCATCAACCCACGTGTATGCGACATGCATACATTGTGTTTTTAAATACTCGGGACGTTTTTTTTCCGCATGGTATTATACATGTAATTAAGTACAGACGATACAAACAAAAAAATAGATGTGTAGACTGGTATATATTTTTTGGACCTATTTTGGTTGGAAATGTTTCAAATAATAAATTTCTAGATTATTAAGAAGTTGTAAACTTTCTATGATGTTCAAAATTTTACCTTTCTGCAACAGTCCGTATAAATCTATACAATTTTTTGTCACTTGAATCCTATTGTGAAACTTTGATTGAAAACAAACTAAAGTCTATGCGGTTAAACTTATTCATCTTATTTATATAAATATGACTAAAATTGTTATTTTTTTTCAATAATTTTCATAAAAGTTTGTTTGTATCACCTGTCCTTAATTTACGCTATATACACTCTGTCTGTCACTTTTCGTGGAAATTTGTAACAGGGCACATGTACTTAAAGTGCGATCAAGGCGAAAAATTGCAATCCAGGAAATCCGCTTATCAATTTAGTGATTTTTAAAATGCTCCATGTTGCATATAAATTGAAGTTGAAACAAAAAATTGGATTAAAATTAGATACTTCTTCTCTATTCTCCCAAAAGAACACGCAAATATATTTGCCGACTAGCCCAGGAAGCATATCAAGGAGCTGGAAGTTTATTACAGTACATTCGACAACTATAACACATATTAAATAACAATACAAATGTATATATGAATAACACATAACATGGTGTATAACTGATGTGAAACTTGATTGACCAGGATAAGAACCAGAGATAAAAAAAAAAAAAAAACTTAAGGTTTTTGGAGAAAAAAACCCCTCTGGAAACCTTTGCCCTATAATATACAATAGACTCTAAAAAAAATCTTAAACAAGTACCTAGTATATAATTAAAATTATATTTTAATAATCAAGTTTGATGTGTCATCTTTGGAAGACGGGCTATAGAACTAATTTCTCGTGCTATTCGAACACTTCTCATAGACTCAAAGCACGTGACTCCAATTTCATTGGATAACTTATTTCCGAATCTATGTGACAATTATTTTCTGCTAATCTCCGTACCGCGCAAAATACATGTATTAATTATAATCTTTAAACTGAGATGGAGATATTACCCCGACCGGCATCCTCGAACTTTTTTTTAATCTTTTGACCAATCTACGGTTATGAGCTATGCAGCGGGCAGGTGCCCCTCTTATTTTAAGTTTCAAGAAAGAACCCACAACTCTCTCTTAGAATATTTATAAAACTGTCTTGAAACCCTTTATTAAAAACATATTTTTTAAAGAATCTTCTTATTGCACTTAAGGACGTAATTTGAACTTTATTGTCTTTTTCCCTGGAGTTGAAGAGTTCCAAATACTTAAAGGAACTGTGTGCTACATTTTACTTTGTTCAACCCTCAAGTGAACACCATTATATGATACCATTTGAAATAACCGCCAGAAACACATGCCTTGACCAATTTCTTTGATTTTTGTCTCAGTTATTAGTTGAATTAATACAATTTATAGCAGCAACAAATTGCGGGAAAATGTCTCGCTTAATTGGAATTGTGATGTCACAAATTTACATCATAATATTGCTAAAAAACTGCCGTTGAATAAAAATGGATTTACCAAAAGAGCGAGCTACCCTCATTTTAAAACTATATTACCAAACCCAGTCTCCAGTTACTGTTATAAGAATATTAAGAAGAGATTTTCCAAAAGAAAAACGAGTTACTAAGCAGCAAATATTAAGAATAGTAAGAAAGCTTGAGCAAACAGGATCTATTCAAGACAAGAGACGGAGCAATGGAGGCAGACCAAAGTCAGTGAGGATTTCAGAGATAATTCAACAGGTGCAACAAGTCATAGAGGAAACGCCACAAAAATCTGTGAGGAAAGTTTTAAGTGATGTGAGTAACGCTATGTCATCTAGCCGATCCAGTGTTCACAGAATTTTAAGATTTGACCTACACTTAAGCCTTATAGAATATCTGTAATGCAGCACCTTAAGCAAAGTGACATTGACAGCCGTCTTACTTTTGCGAAATGGATGAAGGAGCATGACGATATAGTCAATGACATTTTGTTTTCCGATGAAGCTCATTTCTACTTAAACGGGATAGTAAACAAGAGAAGTTCTCGATACTGGGGTAGCAAAAAACCAAATCTTTATCCGGAGAAACCTGTTCATGGAGAAAAATAACTGTTTGGGCTGCCATGAGCTCTAAAGGGATAATTGGGCCTATTTCTTTTGAAGATGAAGAAGGAGAATCTCAGACTGTTAACAGTACTCGTTATCTGGAACTTTTGAAGAAGTTTCTACCATGTTTAATTCGAAGGGGTTTTAATCCTAAAGAAGACATGGTTCCAACAGGACGGAGCTTCGCCTCACACAACTCGAAATGTTACGGACTGGCTACACGAAGAATTGAATGGAAAGTTCATCTCTTTCAAAACTGCACACATTTGACCTCTTCATTCCCCAGATCTAAGTCCTCTAGATTTCTTTTTATGGGGATACCTAAAAGACAATGTGTACAAACCAGAGCTTGAATCCTTAGCAGACTTAGAATGTGCATTTTCGGAGGGAAACCCGGAAGATAACCAACGAGACATGTGCTGCTGTCGTACGGAATCTTATGCAACGTCTCAAATCGACACTACCCAGAAAGGACGTCACGTGGAGCACAAAAAACTGTATCATAGTTCAAACTGTCCTAATTTCGTTTTCTTTTTAATGCCTATCGAATTATGTAAATGACAAGAGGTCCAAGGGCCTTGAATCGCTCTACATAAACTGTACAACCTATCACATCTATTTGAAGCCTCTAAGTATCCTGTATATTTAGATAAAGCCTTGAAATTCCAAAGGTAGGTCATCATGACCTATATTTTAGATGAAACACTCTGAGAACTCAAGAAGATTCTAAGCCAATTAGTACCTGAGAGTTGGTCACGGTGACCTACTTATCACATGTCATTCTCTGAGGACCCAAGATGCAACTAAGTTTGATGATTCTAAGCCAATTAATACCTAAAATATTTTTAAAATTATAACCATAAAATTTCAAAGGTAGGTCACAGTGACCTACTTTTCAGATGACATACTTTGAGGACCCAAGATGCATCAACTGACAAATTAAAGTTTGATGATTCTAAGCCAATAAGTACCTGATATATTTAAATAAAGCCATAAAATTTCAAAAATAGGTCACAGTGACCTCCTTTTCAGTCGACTAACTCTGTCACCCATCTTCTTTAAAAAAGAAAGTTAGGAAAGTTATCGTGGAAATAGATAGTTTGATCTGTTACGAAATCTTCGCATTCATTTGATGTACCGGCTTCCTATGAAATAGGAAAGGGAATAATTTTCCCGATGCTGCGGACTCAAGATGCATCAACTGACAAACTTTGATGATTCTAAGCCAATTAGTACCTGAAATATCTAATTGAAGCCATAAATTTTCAAAAGTAGGACATGGTGATCTACTTTTCAGTCGACCTACTCCGAAGACCCAAGATGCATCAACTGCCAAAGTTTGATGATTCTTATGCAGTAAGTACCCGAAATATTTAATTATAGTCATATAAATTGAAAAGTAGGTCATGGTGACCTACTTTTCAGTCGACCTACTCCGAGGACCCAAGATATATCAACTGACAAATTTTGATGATCTTAAGCCAAATAGTACCCTAAGATATTAAATACAGCCATAAAATTTCAAAAGTAGGTCATGGTGACCTACTTATTAGTTGTCGTACTCCGAGGACCCAAAATGAATCAACTGACAAAGTTTGATGATTCTAAACCAATTAGTTCCTGAATATTTAATTAAAGCCATAAATTTTCAAAAGTAGGTCAAGGTGACCTACTTTTCAGTCGACTTACTCCAAAGACCCAAGATGCATCAACTGACAAAGTTTGATGATTATAAGCCAATAAGTACCCGAAATATTTAATTATAGTCATATAAATTGAAAAGTAGGTCAAGGTGACCTACTTTTCAGTCGACCTACTTCGAGGACGCAAGATATATCAACTGACAAATTCTGATGATTCTAAGCCAAATAGTACCCGAAAATATTAAATACAGCCATAAAATTTTAAAATTAGGTCACAGTGACCTACTTCTCAGTTGTTGTACTCCGAGGACCCAAGATGCATCAACTGACAAAGTTTAATGATTCTAAGCCAATTAGTAATATTTAATTAAAGTCATAAATTTTCAAAAGTAGGTCACGGTGACCTACTTTTCAGTTGACCTACTCCGAAGACCCAAGATGCACCAACTGACAAAGTTTGATGATTCTAAGCCAATTAGTAATATTTAATTAAAGCCATAAATTTTTAAATGCACAATGTAGGTCACGGTGACCTACTTTTCAATTTACGTTTTTTGAGGACCCAAAATACATCAACTTACAAAGTTTTATGATCATAGGCCTTAAAATGTCCAAATTATGGCTCTAAAACGCTTTTAAGTCGAATGCCTGCAAAGTTCAAAAGGTAGGCCACTGTACTAGTATGTTTTATGACCCCAAGATGCATAATCTTACAAGATTTAATGATTCTAAACCTCTCAGTATTCAAATAAATGACCTTAATTGTTTTGAAAAAGATGAGTCATAAAATTAAAAAAGTAGGTCAAGGTGACCTACTTTTTAGTTGTTGTACTCCGAGGAACCAAGATACATCAACTGACAAAAGTTGAGGACCATAGTCCTTAAATTGTTCAAAATATGCCTCTAAATATCATTTTGAAAAAGAATGGCCGCAAAATAAAAAAAAGTAGGTCACCGTGACCTACTTTTGAGTCAACATGATATGAGGTCCTTAGATACATCAACTGACAAGACTTGATGATCCTAGTCCTAATAGTAAGCAAAACGTCAACATTTTAATAAAAAGTAATTTTTGGTCAACTTTGAAGTAACCTTGACACCACGCCCTTTGTCCCAGGGTAAATGCCCGTGCAAATTTTAATCTACAACATATCCTCATCCTATTGTGTAAGTTTGGTGATAATCTGCCCAGTCTGAGTGGTTCTTGAGAAGAAGATTTTTTACATGTAGTGACCAGTACTTTTGTTTCTATTTTCCTAATTATCTCCCCTTGTTTAAGGGTCACAACCCTAGTTTTAGTATAAACAGGAGCCCTTGGGCTAAGGATACCCTGACAGATTTGACAAGGGGTTCTTGAGTTATGGCCCATATTTTAAAATGTTTACGCACACCGCACAAATGGCCATAGCATCAGCTCTTTGAGCCTTTGGCTCAGAAGAGCTAAAAATGGACAATATACATCTGGTTTACAATGTATTTGTTTTAATTCAATATTCATTAAACTGTGTTTTATTCAAACAAGAAATGGTATCATATATTCTGTATATCGTTCTGCATTTGAATTTTATATAATGATTTTTATTTTCAGATAAACATTCAGTACCAATATAAAAGCAACATTTTGTAAATAAAAAAATAACCATGAACAATTTCTCCAATAAACAACTTAATTTTTTAAACTCAAATTACATTTTAAAATGATACTTTATAACTTTATTATTTCAAATTAGCATCTCGTTATACCAATCAAATATGTAATTGGTACAATATTAAATCAAATCAGAATTTCGAATCACACTCATTGGAAGTGTATGTTGTGAAACGGAGATTTTTTTAACATCCAAGATGCACTGAAAATTAATTCAAACTTATCATTTACAATGATAGTAAATAATAAACAAAAAGCATTAACAATCGATATACATAACAAAAAGCATCCATCTGTATTCATTTAAATCCTTTATTCAAAATAAAAATATATTACACATAAAAATATTTGAATTGTGACAGCCATGGTTTAAAACTGTATAAATCTCAAATCAAGTTGCACATGGTTTTGCTGTTAAAATACACATTTCTTCAATACATTTATGATTTTAGTTTAGTATAAAATAAAGCTACCTGGAGATAAGCTGACATGTTGTACTCTTGAAAGCTTATATTTCTTTTTATCAACAACTGTTATGTTGCTTACAGTTACAAAGGTACTCTGAGCAATTTCTAAATAAATAAAGATAACTATGGACATTCTAGATAACAGCATGTCTTTGTGGAATGTGGATTTTTAGAAAAATGTAAAAAAAGTAAATATACATATCCAAATATGACAATGTGAGGATAAATTATATTCAATATGATGTGAAAAAAACTTGGTTATAATTTAATGTACTTAAGTACACACTGTTTTGCTTGGCAATGGCATCTTCATATTGCAATATACCCCTGATGATCCGTGAAATAGATTTTTAAAAGCTCTTTCAAACAATTATTATATAATTATTTTTTCTTATAAATCACACGTAATTAATGTCACTTACACACTTAGGGATTTAGAGTTGTACAAAATGATGGTGATTATGAACATACAAGTAAAACATATACAGAAAAATATTTAAATATAAATCATAATTATGAAGAGCCAATCTTAAAAGCTCATATCACAGATCCAACTTCGATCCATGTTTCTACGTCTTTCTGCTCTACAGCATAAGGTCAAACGTCACTTCCTCTCTGCACGGTCGTGCGCATCTGTATGCGCATTCATATGTGTAATTTTCCATTTCTTCATCCAAGGACCTTGAATTGTGGTGTCAAATTCTTCATCAACTATCACCTGTTCAAAAAGAATCAGTTATAGTTAGAAAGTTAACAACACAGTTCAGATTTTTAGAAGTTTTGTCTTTCAATAGTCTGTGAGAATTGTTTGTAGTCTGTTCAAATATAAGGCTTTTGTGTATATTATTATATTATATTATATATATTACATGAATGTTTACCATGGACTTTTGCTACAGTTTCACTAATAAATTATATTGTATGCATTTACTTTTGTAACATGTATCTTTAAGTTAGTTCTCTATTTCCTTCAAGCCCATACCAAACTTAAAAAAGAAGTTTCTTGATTTATTGTAACACTTATCTCAAAATTTAAAAAAAAATCATTATACCAGATCTTTCATTTTACTTCCTAGTCGGTCTGTAGCATATTTGATAATGTTGTTTGAGATTCAAAACTTCAACGTCTTGAAGACTACACTCTCTTTAAAACTCAGCAAAATTAATACTTGTTTGTTTGTTTGTTTGTTTTTAATCTTCGAAAATTTTTCACTCATATTGTGACGCCACCACTTGGTGGTGGAGGGCTGCAAATTTAGACCTGTACTCGGCACTGACGGCCATTGAGCAGTGAGGGATCTTTTTCGTGTCAGCACCTACAGTGACACTGGGCCTCAGTTGATACGGTCTCATCCGAAGGACCGGTCTCCACGTCACAGAGTGGATTCAAACCCGTGACGTAAGGATCAACTCCTTACTCCGCGACTTCATAGCAAACGCTCAACCACTGAGCCACGCGGGCGACAAATCAATTGAGCAAATGTGTACTAACATCAACAAAGCCTTCTACGGATTTCTTTTGTTCAATGGTTCTGTCCACGGACTCGAATTTCTCCCAGTCTCGCTCAACGTTTTTGCCGTCTTTGCGCAGAACAAGTCCGTCCTTTAGGTTAAACAACCCATATGGCTGGTCAGGTCGCTGCCATCGGAGATCAAGTGCCCACCGAATTTGATTAGAAATGTTAGGAAGACTGAAATATGAATACAGAAGCTTAGAAATAAAGAATTCGTCAACTTATACATAAATATCAATATAGTTAATTATATAAATTATTACTGTATGCGTGTACTTTTGATATTTAGTTTGATTTCTTGATCCTGTTAATTGCAGATATCAGTTTTCCTGAGAAACACAAATTTGTAGCATCATGACTTTTTTAAGTCTCTCATTTTCAATGAAAACAGTTTGCAAGTCCCATTCATTGATTTACCTTTGATGTGCGTATATATTATAAAGCATTAATGAAACAATTTCCCTTACTTTGAAATCGTGTTTCGTTTAATTCGTAAGCAATTTTCCTTTTTTGAAATCGTGTTTCGTTTAATTCATGCTTTTCAGTTTCTCAACTACGCGTTTTTTTGCAAACAAAACTGACTTTCAACCTACGTATATTACTTACCTACGATGAGGAGTCAGGTTATTAAACAGAAGCATCCCTCCGTATGGCACCGGACATGTAATGACGTCATTCTCCAAGTCCACTCCTTAATTTAACAAAATATCAGTCAAAATTAATTACTTTTTTTTCCTGGTACAAGAGTTGAGATCGACATTAACACGATTTTCCACCCTTTACAGTCAGAAAAATATTTCTTTATTTGTTTCCTACGACTCAGAATGACATACGTTGTCAACGCTGGACTAATTAAATTCCTAGCAGTACACTATATATTTTCCGTAAATCATTGTGTCCGCGAACTCTTCTAACAACCCTCGTATATTAAAAAATAATTAGGGAGGTACAAATATCGTACACAAAAAGTTTTTTTTCACGTGCAAGACGGCTAGAAGTCTCTTTTTCTTCCCAATTACATTTCATATTATAGAAGATACTGATAGACAAGTATATATATATATATCTATTTTAGGTGCATAAATAATTCTATTGTTACAACGTACTGGTTCTTCAAAATATGGGCCAAGATCTTCAATATAATGAACGCTGATAAACACTGGCATTCACATTTAAATAAATCATAATCTAAACAGATGACATCTGGTGATCTTTCACTACACACAGCATCCAATTCTTTATTTCTCTAAGAAACATTGTGAAATAATAATAATCATCATCGTAATAATAATAATAATAAAAAACACCGTCTAAATTTATTTTACATGTATTTCAAATTCCAAAAGCGTAAACATTTTTTTTTAAAATGTGTGAAAAATCACGAATTAATCCATCCTTTTTTTTATTTAAAAAAATCTATATGTGTGAAGAGAGTGATCGATCATTAAACTAACGTAGGCAACTTTAAGAATTATCAAAAACACAAGAGTTTAAAAAAATCGATTTCTAAATAAGAAAAATTAGCATTGTAAACACTGTAAAACTTTTTTTGGTTAAATATCATTGACTTTGCTTTTTTCCCCATTACTTTTTAAAATGGATCTACTAGAGTCCCAATGTGAAAAGAATTGATAACTTTCGATTAAATTTTTACTGCACGTATCAAATTTCACAAACCTAGCGTTTTCTGCATTTCTTCCTCTTCAAGCATAACATACCAGGTGTTTCCCCAGCAACACTGATGCGTTGCTACTTTCCCAGAGCGGTGACCCCTTTTAGCCACCTTAAGAACAAGGTAAACACCATTAATTTTGCTAATAAATATGACAAATAATATGGCTGAAATATTGCCGACTCGGCGTTAAACAATAATAATCAATCACAATAAAATCCGGAAAGATGTGTCAAATCAATGCTGAGAATTTTATGATCCTGATGATTTTTTTTTTTTTTACATCTCGAGTTATTCTCCCACCACCTCATGTACATCTTTAATTACTTTTTACATTATAGTTCATCTGTTATAAAAGAAATTAGATTTTTTTTTATTTACAAGCATAAAAATCAGATTATAAGGTATGTCAGCAAAAATTAATTTGTGTCTTCTTGTATCTTTATGACCAAAGAGAGAATCTTCAATCAAAGAATGAACTTAATACGAATGTTCAATATGAAATTCATAAAAATGTTTTTAAAACATTTCCTTGTGAATGTTACAGAAAATCAGAAGCTAGCATGTTGTTTTGCAATCATATTATTTAAGAATTTTATGCATATTTCAATAGTTTACTACAATTCAATTACTCCTAAACATACTTGCATTCCTCCATTGAAATCATCGGTATTAAGTAAAGGTATCCAGGCCGTGGGTATCATAACTTTGTATGACTGATTGTCAAAATATCCACTATCTAGAATTCCAAAAAAAAAAATCAGCTTGAAAGTGAGAATGCAATGTAGATTAAAATATATTAACAGAAATATATATATACTTAATGACAATGTAAGCATGATCACAGAGGTTGTACATGTTTACCTACATGTATACTTGTAAATGTGTATCGAGCTTTCAGATACAAAAAATCAACACAACAGTGATAAAGAGCTCTTATAGGTGTGAAGGTTCTTTTTGTGTTTCTGAAAATCTCTACATTTTTTGAATAAACCACCAACCAAGCTAACTTTTTTTAATTATATGATTGAATAATTCCCATCTCTCTGATTGGCTGAGATCCAACATTGTAGAAAAAAAAATACGTTATGTTCACCTGCACGTAACCTTCCAGGTGAACATTATAAGGATTTATTTTTCCTTCATGGGACTTCAAATAGATTGGGAAATTCCAAACTGAAAACAAATAGTTTTGGAAAGTTATTTCACTAGCACCCTACTTCAACACAATTAACATAACATTCAGGCGCAAAGAATGGGTGGGGATGCAGGGGGTATGTCCCCTTCCACACACTTTTTTCTTCGCATAAATTTTTACATTTACTTTAGTATTTCATTGAAAGGGTGCCCCTTCAATTAATCCACCCTAACATCCCCTTACCCCCCCCACCCCCACCCCAATTAATAAAATTTGGAATTTGTAGAAATTTCTTCGAGGGGCAGTGGGCTACTGAAAGATTTTTTTCTGATGTTTTCAATTTTTTTTTCTTATAATGTCTCCCATTAGAAAATTTATCCTACTTGTACTGTTTGATATTTATTTTTTCTACACCGCACTTTAACCAGATTAAATAATTCCAATAAATTAGAACTGGTTATATTTATTTTATACCCGCTTCTCTCATGGCGTTTGGTTACAGCTTCAGCAAATGTCTAGACAAGACAGTATGGATTGTTTTACGAGTTTGTATCATTTTATTTTGAATTATACAATAAAACAATTACTGTACAGCTGTTTTTTTCAGTCAATACGATGATTTTTCCACCGTCGAAGTATATACATGTAGTATTCACCTCACACGTTGAATATTGTACTCCTCAGGTATCTAAATCATCGTATTGACCTCAAAACAGCAATAATCATATAATATCCTCTATATCTACAGATGGCTGACCTTGATGCCAGGGTACGATAGTTGCATTATTTTTCGGTGTCTTCGTCCTCAGATTCCACACCGGTGACGTTGCAATATCTGGTCCAATCAGTTGCTCGATGACATTTAATAATCTATCATTTGACCAGAGGTCTCTGAAAGCCTGGAATTAAAATCAATTATTTGGACAGTTTGTGATACAAATTAAGGTCTAGTTTATCAGAAACTAACCTTATTAGAGAGACGGCAGGACTTGCAAATAGACAAGATGCAGACATTGATTGTTGTTGTAAAAGGTTCTAAGCAATGGATATCTTTTACCAATAGTAACCTAAGTATGTAATCATGAAATTGTAGATGCAGAAAGAAATTGTGGTATTTCTGGTATGGAAAAACCAGCTACATAATTAATGCATTTTTACTACATATTCAACAGAGCCCTGTTCTAACACCAGAACCCCTGACCCTGGGGGCATGAATTTTACAATTTTTGGAAAAGCCCCCCTTGCTCATTATAACCATGAAAGTACATGAAGTTGTCTGCATAATGCTCAGGAGCAGAAAAAGATTTTCAGAGTATTAATGCATTTTCACTACATGTTCATCAATCATTAATAGAACCTCTACCTAACACCAAGATTCCTCACCAAGATATACAAATTTGGAAGAGGCATCCTTGCTCATCATAACCTTGCACTTAGTTTGTCTGCATAATTCCGATGAGCAAAGAAGATTTTCATATCTTTAAATGCATTTTCTCTATATAATCAATAGAGCCCCACCCTAACTCAAGAACATCTAACCCAGGTGCCATGGATTTCACAATTTTGTTTGAGGGCTTGAAATGCTTATTATAATCATTCCAGCAGTTTGACTTCTTGATGCCCAGGAGTAAATAAGATTTTAAAAGATTGAGCTAGTTTTTTATGGCTTTGGTCCCATCCCTCAGGCCCTTGGAAGGCAGAGACCATGAAATTTATCATTTTTATTACCCTTTGCCCATAGATGCTACATGTACATACCAAAACTGGTTGAGATTTGTTCAGCGGTTCCAGAGAAGAAACTGAAAATGTTCAAATGTGAACGCTTGACTGACGACGTACGATGGTCGACACGTTATAGGACAAAAATAAATAGCAATTCAAACGTTACCTGAATGACTCAGGTGACCTAAAATATGTGATATTCTCAAGAATAACAGGACCACAAAGTCTCAAATTCATAAGTAAGCATCTTCATATTCTGTTTTATAAATTTTAGTGTTCAATCTATGACCCAAGAGTAGGGACAGGTTTATACAGTGGGTCTAAATTCAAATTTAGAAAATATATGTTTGGGTAAAATCTGAGAAAATCCTCTAAAGAAATACGGGACTACAAATGGTTTTGTATGCAATTAATTTATGCAACTCACTCATGCTGACTTACTTAACAAGAAACTTCTTTTATGTCTGTATACAGCTTACTGTACTTAATCCACTCGTATGTCGACATGTAACTCATTTATGTAAACATGCAATTCTTTTATGTTGCCATGCAAGTCAGCTTGCAAGAATGTCTATAGCTGAACTTATAAATAAGCTGCATGTTATCCAAAGCAAGTTAAATTATTTGAATAGTTTCATGTAATTTGCATAAATTAGGTACATGTACATGCAAGCATAAATAAGTTGCATATTGGCATAAATTAGCTGTATCGTGTTTTAGATGTCCCAATGGGATTTATTTGATATTTCATAAAAATTTCACTACTTTTCATCCCATCACGCGACTTAGTAACAACCACGTGATCTATTAAGTCCATCAGCTTTTGTTACAAGTGTATTGGATTTTGTTACTCGATCTGTAGTTACTGGTGTCAAAACAATTAAGACTTCTGCGTCATGGAAAAGCTTTCGTTTCAAAATTTTCGTCAGTATTTACTAATAAAAGTACATATATTATAGTACACATGACAAATCTTCTGGTACAACTTTTGTTATTGTCGACGACAAACATTTTGTCGTCAATATATTTTGCAACTGATTGTTAAATACATGTATATGCAATCATAATATTACAGATTGATAAGTCGCTTAACGATTCCATACCTGTGGGAGCTTGCCCATCTTGTGTAAAAGAATGTTGGCTCCTGGAAATTCTGCCTCTATTTTCGTAAGTCGTTCAAAAAATCCGCATTCTTTATACAATTCTACAAGGAAATTGAATTAGTCAGTAAAAAAAATAAATAGGTGTCAAATTGTTGATGTAAGGCCTGTGTTACAGACAGACTCACAGCTTGCCTTATTAGTCTTTCTGTACTTTTAAGGTGGGGGCGGGGCTGGGTGGTTACCCAAATTACCTAAAAGATCCCCCTAAAGATATGAAATTTGCTTTTTCTAGCCATAATTTATAATTATTTAGTAAAGAAAAACCATGTTCCAGCTATAATATTTAAGCAAGTTCTTATACTTTTATACAAATCTGCACCTTTCCAGGAGGTTCAATAGTCTAAAAATGGCCATGGCCATCCATCCTTCTTAAATGAACTAGAGGTACTGTGAGCACTAAGCGTACAAAATGATACCCCCGCCTCCCATATAATATGATTATAATGGCAAAGACCATGTTTAGCTACGGGAGATCCGAAGTAAGTCATTTAGTGTCCGATCAAAAAATAAAATAGGGGGTGCACAATGGCAATATGAAATAAAGATTCTGTGAAAGTATCATTAAATTTTATTCCGTGGTATAGGAGGAGTTGCGGATAAGAGATGGATATCCCTCAATATTATAGAAAGAATGGCAGTGTCTATGTTTTGCTATAATTATTGGAAACCCGAAATATTTGTCCAATCAAAAAATAAAATAGGAGGTACACAATGGTACTATGTAATAAAGATTCTGTGAGAGTCTCATTAAATTTCAATCATTGGTATAAGAGAAGTTGCCGATAAGAGATGGGTACCCCAAAGCGTAACGGACGGACGTACAGCATGACGGACGAACGGATACCCCCTTCGCTATATACCCCCACTTTTCAAGCGGGGGTATAAAAATAGATGTGTTTGTAAGTAATGTTTGGTTGATCTTGTTTATTCTCATTTTTTACACATTATTCTTGCTGGAAAAGGAGGGGGTTCTTCTCATTTAAAACAATTATAAAAATTGAACATACCTTGTATACATATTTAAGACAAACATGCATTCTAATACATTGCAAATCCATCTCTTTATATGTTGTTCTTTGATTTGGTAAGCAAAGAAGAATAAAAATCAAAACTATATACAAAACTGTCTGTACGATCCCTAGTGGTGTATTTATTGTATTATCTTATCAATCCTTACAGACTTACTTTTAATCTTGCCAGCATCATAAAGTTTTTTAGCAAGTCCATCTACCAAATCATTAATAGCTTCTCTCACTGGATCCAATTCCTTTTCAGTGTCGAAAAAATCCTCTACCAGAATATAACCCTACAAAGAAAACACATAGCATATACATTTCTTTGAACGAAGCTGCTGCAGACAGTGGCTATGTATCAAAATCTTCATTTGGCCATATTTGGAGTTTTTTTGCATTAGAATTTAAAATTTCATATTTTTAATTATCAAATAATTAAATGTTTTTTTTTTTTTTTAAATACAGTAGAATCTTTAAGTATTCAAAAATATATAAGAAAGTTAAATAACCGATTCATTAAATATTAATTTGATGTACATAAGAAATTTTAATCATGAAATGTTAGTTTGATACACGTACATGTACGAGTGTATATATAAGATAGTAATTTTTGCAAATCATGAAAACTTAATTTGATATGTATGATAAATTGACGATTATAATTTGATAAATATGTGTAAGAAAATACATGTGCATAAAAGCAAGTACTGTGCAAATAAAACAGTCAAAAATCTCCCCTCTTTGTATTAAAAAAAACCTTTATGAGAAATGGCTCAGATAACGGATCGAGGTTCAAGAAATTATTACAGAATAGACATCACTTTTCCATTGATTACCCGCTACTTTACAATATCTGATGTTGCGATTTGGCCTATATTAATTATACAAGAATATATATCTTATGCAGTTTAACATAACTTAGTGGATTGTAAGTACACGGTTTAGGAATGGTTGTACTTCATGTCTGATTTACTTTCAGCCTAACCTATTTTAAGGTTTGAGCTAGTACATTATTTTAGAAGTATATAGCGCAGTTTTACGTTCACTAGAAAATTAAACGTTATGGATTACCGTCAATGTACTGATCATAGCTCAGTACCGTACAAATTACAAAACGCAGGAGGGGGGGTGCTCCCCAGATAATTTTCAAACAAATAACTATCATTCAATAGAAAACGAACTTTATCAACGGTTATGCCCCCTCATTAACAACGTCTGGTGATTTTTTTTTTTTTTTTTTTTTTTTTTTGTCAGCGTGTGTCAAAGAATCCCCCTTACTGAAATGTCTTCCTTGTACTTAGTAGTAGCAAACCTGTAGTATATATACTCGTATTAAGTACATGTATATTTTTTGACAAGGACAGATTCGCATAAGGTATCACTTAAACCCTATCAGAGGGGGCGGGGCATTTTGAAGTCACAAAGGTAAAAATAGTAGTCGCTAAGAAGACCCCATCCTTAGAGTACGAAAACATCACGAAAACTTTACAACGGTACATCTATAATAATGGTCAGAAGATTTAAAATCTCAGGTGAACAAAACAAACTGTGACGCATTTACTTTACAGGACATTCACTTCTCTGTATTATATCACTTAATGTGAAACAAACGTATCTTATTTCAGGGAAATTATACTTTTATTTTTAGGTCAAGAATGAGACATTCCTCATATTGTCTCAAATATTATATAGTAAATAATACTTAATGTGTACCATGAGTAAAAAAAGTCGGGAATTTAACTCTATTCATTTTATGAATAAGGTTATGTTACTGATGTAGCTTACTTGTATTTCCACGTACATTTGTGTGTGTACACGTATGTTCCGTATTATTAAATGTAGTACTTTAAATCCATATCACCGAAAAGTATTATATATACCGTAAATTATATACATATGCATGTACAAGGAAAGAACCACACCCTTATGAGTCCCTGGGAAGCCATATGCATTGGATAGAGAATGGAATATTTAAAATTAGTGGAAACCTTGGTTTGAACATATTTTATTGTAGTTTTTAATTACAAAGGGATTGGGCACAAGTTCTAAAAACTTATTAAGCCCTCTCCCTACATGTAAATGACAAAAATTAAATTAAATTAAATTAGGTCACAGTTAAATATGTACATTCAAAATATTCAATATTAGTGTTACAAAATTTACAAATCAATGCATTTTAAGAAATCATACATATAATTTTGCATATACATGTATATATAAATAAATATATTTATAATAATACTAATACTAACATGTAAATCTGCCAGAATGTTTAATAAAAGTTTGAACAATACAGAAAAGACGTTCATTCTCCACAGCACTCAATGAATCTATCCCCCATAATAAAACATGTGTATCTAAAATGTGAATTTTATCAAATAATAAAAATTTATCAAGAAATTCCTTTCTGGCTTCTTTATATTTTGGACATATAAAAAAATAATGATACGAATCTTCTTTTTTGCCACATGAGCATAAAGGACTTGAGATTAAATTACATCTGTAGAGGTCAATATTTAATGCACAATTATGTCGAAGTCTGGTCTGGAGAACATTCAGTCGCCTGTTACCATATTCAACGTATGACGGTGGGGCAGATTTTTTAATACTTATTTTAGATTTAAAATTTGACAACAGTTGTAAGTTTCTATTTTCAAGTGGTAATGAGTTCCATTCATTAACTACAGTAGGAATAAACGATGACTTATAAGTCTGTAATCTACATTTTGGAATATCATAATTTTCAGAATTTCTAGTAGAATAGCTAGATGTATTGCATCGCATATTGGGAAGTATGTCCATTAGATAATCTGGTACTAAATTATTATGCATTTTAAAAAATGTCTTTAATCTTGCTGTCTGTCTTCTACAACTAAGTGGTTCCCATCCCGTTTCGAAGTAAAGTGAATCTTTAGAGGCTATAGTTGTTAAACCTGTGACAATTCGTGCAGCATAAAGTTGCAATTTTTCTAGTTTATCGTTATCATTGTTTTGACAGCAGCCCCATACCACAGAAGCATATTCAAGTTGTGGTCTTATAAATGACGTATACATAAGGGAGAGAGATTTTCGATTCATTTTAAATTGTAATTTTTTTAATAGAGCCAATTTTCTGTAGGCACTAGCCAGTAAATTTTCAATATGTGATGACCAACTAGCATCATGAGAAAATAATACTCCAAGGTGTTTGTGCTCAGTGACAAAGTCCAATTGACATTGTTGAAAGAGAAGCTTAGGATATTCGATGTTTTTCTTTGTACTGAAAATTATTGCTTTAGTTTTAGAGGGGTTGAATTTCATTAACCATTTTTTTGACCAAAGTTCCAGTGCATTAAGATCTTGATTAAGATTTCTTTCAATAATTTTCATATTTTGAGATGAATGCTGCAAAGAATTGTCATCTGCAAATAGTCTACATAAAGTGATCATATTATCAGCAACATCATTCACATAGATTAAAAACAAAAGTGGCCCTAATACTGAGCCCTGAGGAACACCAGCAAACAAAGGTTTAGGTGATGATAACAAATTACGATACAAAATTCTTTGATACCTACATTCTAAATAGCTTTCTATCCATTTATACAAATTTCCATTTATCCCATATGTTTTAAGTTTGAACAAGATACCTTTATGCCAGACACGATCAAATGCTTTTGATAGGTCACAAAATATCAAACAACAAAATTTACCATCATCAATAGATTTAACAATATTATCATATGTTTCAATTAACTGATATACAGTAGAGTGACCAGGTAAGAAACCAGCCTGATATTTATAAAAAAGATTATTATCATGAATATAATTGTAAATATACTTAAAAACAACTCGTTCCATGATTTTCCCTACACAGCTCAGCAACGAAACTGGTCTATAGTTTGACATTAAAGAAGGATCTTCTTTTTTAAAAAGAGGAAGTACGTTAGCTAGTTTCCATTCTGAGGGGAAAATACATTCATTTAACGATCGATTAAACAACAAACAAAGCGGTTTGGCAATAGAAAACTTTGCAGATTTTAACATCTTGTGACTAATGTTGTCAGGACCAATGGCCTTGTTTGTAGGGAGTATTGATATAATATCAATTATTTCTTGTTTACTAATGCATACATTACTAATTTCATTATAACAAACATAATATGTATCAGGTAATTCTGACCCACTGTCATCAACACATGATACAGAAGTAAAATAGTTATTAAGTACATCTATTTTCTCTTCATTGGAATAGGCAATATTTGTGTCACCAGTATCTGTTGTATATTGTAATGGTGGAATATCAGAGGAAACTTTAGTTTTAAAAACATCCTTCAATAATTTCCAGTAAAGTTTCGAGTTGTTTTGGAAACCTTGTTGCACATATACATGACATAGCCAATCAATTTACTTATATAAATTTCAAACTATTCCGAAATTGAAATTATTGTCTTCTGGGTCATTCAGTAACACTGTGCGTTCTAGCCTAGCTGAGGTGGATTGAAAATGAATTTCAAACTAGAATTTCAATCCAATGTTTTCTCGGACGTCCGTGCCGAATTGTTCCCGCCCGTTCCAATGTCTATCATTAAATGTTTTGATTGTAACGGATGGAAATGACGTAAGCTGCAAATTTCCAATTTTGTCAGTTAATGTTCCGCGGTCTTATCTTATTAAGGGGGTCGATTCATTGGGTGCTACAGAGAATGGACTTCTCTTTTCTTTTGTTCAAAAATTTATTATACATTCTGGTAGATTTCCTTGTTAGCATTAATTAATATATCAGTACATGTATATGTTCAAAGTTAAATGTATCTAGTACATGCATATTTATCTGCAAAATGCATCGATTTGTAAATTTTTGCAAATATTGCATACTTTAAAAGCTTAATTTTTAACTGTGACAATTTCAATTTGTAATTTACATTTAGGGAGAGGGCTTAATAAGTTTTCAGAACTTGTGTCCAATCCCTTTGTAATTATAAATGTCAATAAACTATGTTCAAATCAAAACAAAAATATATAATAAATAAGTGAATAAATAATAATGAAAGAATTTTGCGATCTTTATTATTATTTTTATTCATTTATTAAATTAATGTATCTATTTACTAAATTTCGTCGTCTTCTTTTGTCTGGGTTGATCTGACACCCTTACAAAACTACCGTATACGGTTTCATCGAATTTATCTGAATTAAGGATACTCATTTATTTAATAAACTAGCTTGAATTATTTACATCTGCGCAGCAGATGCAAGTTTCTATGATCAAGACTGTAAGTTATGATTTCAAGTCTCTCGACCTATGATAATTATAGACGGAGATATCAAGTGCGCGTCTAAGTACCAGTGTACCAATTCAATAGATTTTAATGGTCATAAGCTGATATTAAAGTTGAAGGACCTTCAGATCAACACACTAACTGTGCATCGACTTCATATAGAAAAATGGGGACACTTGTACAATTTGTTATAAACAAATTGTATCTACATGTCGGATTATGCTTAGTTAGTAAATTATAATTATTTAAAAAGATGAGAAGTGCCTTTTTTGTGTTTTTTTTTATTATCGAACTCCAGATACTCTATTCCAGGGATGGGGTCAATTACTTTAAAAAGTAATTAATTAAATTACAATTACTTTGACTTTTTCTTCAATTAAATTACAATTAAATTACAGGCTTTCTAAGACATGTAATTAATTAAATTACAATTACTTTGCAAAAGTAATTAATTAAATTACAAATTACATTTTTAATTTTTTTGAAAATTTTAATAATCCTTGTCAATGAATATACAAAACATCATTTATTTGTATATAAGCTCAGCCTCTGCACAAACAGTACAAGAAATAATATGCTACATGTATAGGCATTGTGTATCATTCTGGTTTAATTTATAACATTTATTTACAAAACAATAAGAATCTCTTAAAGAACTATCCGAGATCAGTTTGATGCAGTTTCCACCACACAAAACCTACATGTACACAAATTGCATGGCTTATGATATTTGATTAAAAGTGAGAATTTTAACAGAGTGAAATGAGTTGCAACTGTAACCCCTCAAATTAAATATTTCCTTTGAAGGTAACCTGAACATCCTAAATTGCTATTTATGTTGAACAATTTTACTTCATAAATCAGAATTGTACAGATAGAAAATTCATTCATAAAAATCTGTTTTTATGTTAAAATAATTATCAAATTGAAAGTTTTTCTTTTCTAAAGCTAGCGGAGCATTTTAAATTGAAATGATTATCTCCATTGGCTTTGTCTTCAAAATCATGGAATGAATACATGTATCTCTTTAGAGGAGTTGATTTGTTTTGATTGCAATTTAAAGCTGTGATCTGGAGGGCAATTATCTCTTCTCAACAAAAGAGAACTTAATTAATGACACACACCTTCTTTATCTTTATTATTGATCAAACAACAAAGATTGAAATATAATAAATGTGTGTTTCATAGCTGAATAGACCTAAGAAGGGTGGTTCAAAATTCATATTTATAAACATAGATTAAAAAATTCAAAATTTACATACATTGTATATAATGATTAGAAAGAAACTAGTTTATTATTATCAAGCCAATCATTTAATTATTTTTTGTAAACATTAACCTAAGATTTTGTATAATTGAAGGATTTAGGATATGTTTAACAAAAAATTAAAAACCAGTAAAATGGGGAGGTAGTGGTGACGATATATCATGAATGTGTATTATATAAAGTAATTGAAATTACATGGTATTTTTTCAGTGTAATTAATTAAATTACAATTACAAGTAATTGAAAAAATGTTCAATTACAAATTACTTCCAATTACTTCAAAAAATGTAATTAATTACAGTCAATTACAATTACTTTTTTCAATTACCCCATCCCTGCTCTATTCCTTCAGTAGACTATTCTACATTTAAGTATAATTAGATCTATCTACAATGACAAAGTGCTTATCCGGACTATTTCAAGTTCATTTTGATACAAGTATTGGTTAATATTAACATGTAATATTGATTTCTAGAATATTACTTTCGCCAGTATAGATTACAAAAACTTACAGAATAGTTCCAAAAAACGTGCGAGAATCAAATACATATGTACACTACATGTGCTTACTGTGAATCACTGATACTAAAATTATTTCACTACCAGGCTACCATATATGCATGTATGTAATAACCGGACTATATTGTCGTTACTAAATTTTTTTACGCAACCTCCAATATATCTATTAGGCAATTATGAAATATTTTACTGTTATATTTGCTCATCATATCTGTATCCATTTATGGTGTGTGAAGTAAAAAAAAAACGATAATACTGAAACATACCTCCTCAAAAAATTGTTTGATAAGGTGATCGGGAAGTTGCCCAGGTTTTTTGTCTTTCGGTTGAGGTGGCATGGCCTCGATGTTGAAACATTCGGGATGTTTCTCACTTGTCATCCCTGGAAATTCAAATTCTGTAGACTCCATGTCTGATTAATATTTGTGTTTCAATGGAGGTACGAACGCCGACACACACAAACACAGCTGGGGTTACAAAAGGGCAGATAACTCTTATCTTTGTTTATGCAGGTCAAGGTAAGGCAACAAATACAGGTAATAATACAATTTGATTAGTTTCAATACGAAAATCATGGTATCTCCTTTTTTTTTTAAAAAATGCATTTTTATGTATATATGTAAGAACATAGTATATTACTTTCTGTTCAAGAAATACATTTTTTTTTAATTCATAGTAATAGAGAAAAGTTCCGTTGATTTTATTGGTTCTTTTTTTTTAACGAAATAACAAAATTTTATAAAATCAACGTTTCATTTAAAGCACCTGTCTAGCACCTGTTGATCAATGTTTAGAAATTACTGCTATATTTTTGTAGCAATATATGTAATTTATACGCCAATAAAGATACTACTTCTAGATATACATTATAAAAGTACTGAACATTTTTAAACATGATTAAATTATAGTTCTGATCAATAATGAAATTAACATTAAGAAGATAGCAGATCCCTAATAATTATATCATAAGATATAAGCAACTGTACTTTAACATGTTGGATTCACAGATGTTAAAAGTATGAATTTGAAGTGTTTTTATAACGAATGTATATTTAATAAATGATATTTACTGTGAGAACTATTTTTTGGCATCGTCGAATTTTTTTTAATAAACTATCCTGACTGCTAAATTCCGATCGTTCTTCTAAGATCAAATATTATTAACTAATTTTTTTTTTTTTTTTTTTTTTTTTTTTTTAAAAAAGATGTACATACCCAGGCATTTTTTCGTAAAATGAATCGGAAATTAATAGAGGAATATATGAGTATTATTATTATTTTTAAAAATATTCTATATGTTTCATTCTATTTGGAAAAGAAAAGGGGAAAAAATCGTCGATATATAATCAGATTTACAAGTGCAATTAGACTTCTGACTTTCGTTTCAGATTTGGTCTGTGAATTTTCCCACCAATTATTATTTCCCCTCGGCCTGATCTGTAGGAATATTACATGTATTAAATTCTCGCCCAGTAAATTCAATCCCTGTCAGAAATATTTTGCAGGGAATGTTCAAATCCCGAAGGACATTATATTGTTTTTATACAACATGTACAAGGAGTTAAATTGACTTAATTTTTAATTTACCCAACAATATTTTTCCCTATGCGATATTTTTATGAGTTTATTTTTCATGACAGGTGATATTTACCTGTAATAACCAACACTTTTTGAACTATGTGGGCGATAGTCTACCTTAAGATGTTCGTCATTTTTACGTATTACCTAAAGTGATTGGCGGGAACCAATTTGCCGCCTGGGAGGTGGTAAATTTAACCGACACAGCGTTAGTCATTTTCCCTCACGTTTTTCACGTTTTGGCTTGATTCTACTCCAATTAATATAATCTAAGTAGACTTGCTCAAGTCTCTATGTTTTAAATTTAACTATGAGGGAGAGCAGAGGACAACAAGACAAAAATGAACAAAGAATTATTTAAATAATAAAAAAAAAAAGAAACAGAGAGACTTGAGCAAGTCTATAATTTAAGGACATTGGCAAGTCAGGGTTTTCCGGAGAAAAAAGGTTTAATACATGGGTTTTTTCGCTTATAAAATAGTGATTGAGAGTGATCTCCCGTGTAGAATTCTCTAAGCGGTGAAAACCAATAAAGCGTATGTTACAGAGGTAAACATAAGCACGTGTACCTCCTTCAAGGGGTAGAATCATCTATACAGCAAGAAAGAAAAGCTATAATGGCTTTGTTGTACATTGTATTCAGGGACAAAGAGCCAGCAGGTCATTATTTACCATAGTTATGCTCAGTTTGCTGGAAAGGGCAAAGATGTGACATATGCTGAAAGGTAGGTCGACCATGCCGACTGAGAACAGTTCTTAGGTCATGTGAAGGAATCGGCATTTAGTAACTACGAATAAAAGTCAAAAATAAATCCATGGCAATATTTTTATGACAGTGAGTTTCAATTCAGTCAATTACATGATAAAACAATCAACCAGTCTCTTGACCAATTTTAGCTGTTAAGGGACGCAACTCAAAAATAATCGATCGGTGCCGGTATATCCATGTCTTGTTTCTAAATATACATTTTTAGCCAAAATATCTAGAAGTCATAGGAAATGAAGATACAATAATGTATATAATACAAAAACTGTATGAAATAAATGGGTTTTGAAGAAATATTATGGTGAAAAATTATGTAGGTCCCTTTTATCAACATTTTACATAGGAAATGCATTAAGAATTGTGAAAACACTAATTTGACAAAATCTAAAAAAGAATGATGGATTGGTAGGTAAAACGATCCAGAATATAGCCAGTTTAGTACATTTAAACCTACTCAAAAGTTCTTGAAAAATTCTATACAATAACCAGGAACCTTGCCAATGTCCTTAAGTACCGTCTCTAGATCTGTTGATAAATATGCTGAAAGATTTTTATTTTCATCTTTATGTCCTAAGATTCATATTCACATGATATTCATACAGAAGGAATGGTTAGGGGATCTTGGAATGAGCATATATAAAGCGTTCCACTTATAAGTTCTATTAATGTTAGTACATGTTAGTGTTCATGGTACACTGAATTTACATTTTCTATTGATATCTATATCATTCCACTACCTTTTAAAATTATTGATTAAGATTTAATTAGTCAATGTAAGGCTACTTTGAAACCATTTTCAAACCTGTTATGTAATCTTTATTTACGGATCTTACCATTCACTTTTGTCAAATATGTTAGGTTTTAAACATGCCGTTAAATAAAGTCAAAATCATTCAACCATTCTTCCGGATTTTCACTCAAATACCATCTCCTCTCTTTTTTAGCAACCCACTTTATCCCTTCTTTTCTTATTTTTAAAAGCCTCTCTAACACACTGCAGTCTGCCTTAAACCTTCTCTCAATTGCAACCCAACTTATTCACTTTCGGTTCAAAGCAATTTCCTCAAAACATCATCTGATTGTATTCAACCCTCATGATGTTTGTTCGAATTTGCAGTATATATGAGATTCTCTCAGATTTGGGAATTCGTATACAGGATTTACCCCAACAAACTTTATTTTCGTACTTTGAAGTTTCAGAAATTAAAAGCAAGCAATTTTTTTTTATAAGTCACCTGCCTTATGTTTTTTTTTCTTTTCTTTTTTTTTTCAGACAAATAACCACATTTAAGTAGTTGGCAGTTACTGATAATATTAAAATTTATATTATTTCATTGAATATTTTCAAATTGACCGAATCTATCATATAATGCCAATGCCATTGAGGAACAAAGCTCTGAAAAAGGCTCATTCAGATTTAACCACTATAAAGGCAGGGAAAAACGATGATAGGAAGAAAAGACTTGAGGAATAAAATTTTATTAAAAAAAAAATATAATGTTAACATTCTTAACCATTTTTTTTACCATCGAATATAAGCTTAAAGGGTTACATGTATTAGCGATGAACACAGGAAATATACGAGATTAGAAGGATGACAATCATTATAATGTGTCCTTGGAATTCATAAAACAAGTTTTTTGCCGTATCCTCAATTGTGTTATCTTAAAACTAATTAGGATGAAATAAAGGTATGCCACGTATTCATTTTCAACCTCTTTTGTTCAATTTGACCGTTTGACACCAGAGAATAATGGTTGTTTTGTCACAACAGATAATGTGACAAATATGTTATATTTATAAAAGTTTAACAAATTAGTTATACCTGTGAAGATTATTCTGGATTACATAATCATTATCATCCATTTGATGTAAACCTACTCTATGAGCAAGAGGTTGAATTGTTTACACGCACTTCCTAGCACATCATTAGGACTTCGGAGAAGGAAAATTAATATACAAAACAAAGACATTGTTTGAAACACATCTATATCATTATGTTAGGTATTCCTGACAGTGTTTTGAATTACGTCATTTGTAAAACCGTAGGATGTTTGTTAATAGTATAACATTGTACTGCATTTCCCTAATGACGTCCATTAAAAGTACATTAGACTGAAATGTTTTAATTAATTAATGCTGAAATACTGCCGACTTAGCGTAAATCATCAATCAATCAATCAATTATTTATTTTGAACAAGATCCAAAAGCCATAAAACGAACACTTCTCATACATGTACTTTATATTACTGCTTATTGTATTGTACATATGTACTTAATTTGTTCAATATATATTATTGTATACTATAAATGAGTGGAACTGTGGGACTAAGGAACACTTGACCAGGGGTTTCACCCCCCAATTTAGGCTCACTGAGAGTCTTAAATTTTGTGATATATGTTATTATATGTTATTTTTGTAAACTGATGGGCTGTATTGCCCAAAGTTATATCCTGAATAAACAAATTATTATACAGATTGCTTAAGACCATAGGCAGAAAAAAATATTGATATCCGGTTCATTTATTTCTAATAGATAAGTTTTTACATTGAAAGCTCATACGTGGCCTTAGAAACGCTTCTGACCTGAGACTGTGTCATGATCTTGACCCAAATTTGTACAAGTTCAAAGTTACATACATACAATGTATATGTACTTACAAAAGATGTATGTTTCTTAAGGTAGTCCGATCCCCAGGTTCTGAAAATCAGCTTTTCAGTAATTGAAAATGCTCACAAAAATGTCTTGGATTTCGCAGAACAACGTGTATTTACCCCAGGTATTTCTTCAAAATTCATCAGTAAAGTTAATCAAATTATAAAGGGAAAATTATCAAATCTCAAATATATTTTTACCAAAAATTTTTTAGTAAATGCGAATAAAAGCACCAGCTATGGATTTTCTGATTGAAAACTGATCAACAAATATATTTTTGGATTAAAAATTATTGGTATCCAGGCATTTGGAGAAAATTAAATGTTTTGCACACTTATACAGTATTTTAGTTCTATTTATTTCAATTGTTATAAAATACATAGTGTAAAACGTGTGTATTATCATTGCAAGACATCCCAGATCACTTCTAATTTCATATCATGCTCATAAGCA